CAGCGGTGCCCACACCTCTGCCCTTCAGGAGGCCGGACTTGCTTTTTTGTTTGGCAGTCTGCAGGCCGTGTTCTGAAAGAAAGCAGAGGTGGCAAGAGGGCTGAGACCCGAGCTCCGGGTTCCTGCAGTGTCCCTTCTGCAGGTCACAAGAGCAAGCCAGACTTAAAGATGGGGAAGTCGATTCTCCCCCTGAGGGGAGGAGCAGAATTTGTGGCCATCTTGGATCCACTGCAGAGTTTAATCAGAATGTTGGGTAGATGAAGGGAAATCGCCCTTTGTCTTGCTGCACTGGAGTCTTGAGGAGCTGTATACCTCCCGCCCACCTAGCAACCTGCCCCTTAGAAGGACGCCAGCCAGAGCCTCAGACGCGCTCAGTGAGCTCCCAGCTTCTCTGCCTTCTCCTTCCTCCCCGCCCTCAGCATCAGCTGCAGCCGAGCTCTGTCATCTTGGGCGTGTCACTTCTCTTCCCGGCCCCCCAACTCACACACCCATTCTTTGCCCCAAAGTTTCTTTCTCTCTCTTCTTCCTTCTCTAAAATCAATAAATAAAAATTAAAGATAAACTGACTACAATTAACAATACTGTGTTGAATATTTGAGAGTTGCTAAGACAGTAAATCTTTTTTTTTTTATTTTAAAAATTATTTATTTATTTATCTTTAGAAGGGAAGGGAAGGAGAGAGGAAGAGAAATATCAATGTGTGGTTGCCTCTCATGTGTCCCCTGCTGGGAACTGGCCTGCAACCCAGGCATGTGCCCTGACTAGGAATCGAACCGTGATTTTTTGGTTCTCAGGCCCACGCTCAGTCCACTGAGCTACACCAGCCAGGGCCTAAGATGGTAAATCTTAAAAGTGAAACAACAATAACAACCCAGAAAATTATGCTTAACATCCCAGCACCAGAGGGCCGTGGGCTGCCCATGGGTTAACTAGCAGTTGGGCTGGTTGAGTTGCTGGATGACAAGTCCCAGTAACCTGTGATACCAATGATGACTTCACAGAGTTCGGCCCAGAGAGCAAGCAGCCCAGATAGTTCAAGGTAATGGCTTTTCTTCTTTTGTTATTCTGAGTGTGGTAGCTCCCTGCATGGATTGGAAGGCATTTATTAACTCAAGTGCCTTTAATTAGGCTGGTTTTGACTTACATGCTATTCATTACATACTTCAAGTTGTGTGTGTGGGGGGGTACTTTCTTCTACCCTTATGGCTCTAATCAAACAGACATGAGACCGATTAACAAGAGAAAATGACCCAGTTTAACTGCATGCCCATGGGTGGGAGCCTCACGTCCATGAGAGCGTCAGAGACCCCGCGTGCCCGAGGTTCAGAGGTAGAAAAGGCATCCTGAACTAGGGATGAGCTAGTCAACCCTGGGGCTTCGAAAGGCAATTGCAAAGGCAACCTGTTCAGTAATTAGCAGTTTACCTTGATGTGTATTTCAATGCACAGGTAAAATGTCCTTTCTGGTCAACTCTCACGTTGGGCCAGGCTCCCAATTTAAATTCTTCTACGTGGAAGTTTTTATGTAGAAGTGGGGGGAGCAGAAGTTTGTCTGGATCCTGCAGGGTCCTGGTTGCCTGTAGCTCAGAGTAACCTGCACACCATCAAGGCTCACCTTGGAGCGCCTTGCCCTGAAGTCCTACAAAGTCAGTGTGATAAGGGTCCTACTTCTGGGCCAGGACAAGAGAAGGAGTGAGAAAACTCACTTCTTTCAAAAAGGAGTACCTGCTGTGCAGAGAGGACAGAGGGTGCTTGTCTTTATCTGCCTGCACTGAGCTGAGGGAAGGGGAAAAGCAGGAGGCAGACCCTGGTGGGGCCAGCCGGAAGGAGACAACTCCCATGATGCCTGCCACCCACCAGAGAATTTCAGAGCTGGAAGGAACCAGAGACCAACACTCGTGTTTTTATCTTGTAAGGAAAAAATTGCAAGACTTTGAACTTTGGCGGGAGTCCTCGCCTGGATAGCTCGTCATCAGGTCATCTCTGCCTGGTTCGTCTTCGATGAGGCTGTTTTATAACTCCGCAGAGGTAGAGGTTAACTTGTCAAAAACTGATAGCAAAGCAGTTTATTCTTTTCTGAGAAATGCTATTTGTGACTATTCCACAATTGGAATTCAGTTGATTTCTCTGGCTATTGAACCGACTTTGGCAGTTCCAGTTTTGCAACTCTTCGTAAACTGATTTCAGCCTTTCCTATCTGACTGTGCACGTGTGGATCTTAGAACTGGTTACAGTCTCAGGCTCCCTCACTAATTAATGAGCTAAACTCTTCAATACTCCTGTGCACTTTACACCAGTGTAAGCATTGTCCTTGTATCTTTCTTGAATATTGCTGATCGTACAGCAAAATGGGTTTCTTTGGGAACAACAAGAAATTGCAGTCCAGAACAGGCAGCTGTGGCGGGCACACGCACATCCACTAAACAAGGGAGGGAGGCTGTTTCACAGAGGGGGGAGGGGGAGGAGGTCGGGAAGAGCTGTGAACAAACGGGAAACCCCTGTTGTGTTTTGTGACATAGGGTGTGAGAGCTCCCCATTCTGGCTTTCCTTTTTTCACTTTGAGGCTTCTGCTTATTAACTTTTACAATATTAATTCTTTAACATTGCAGAGAAGGATAAGGAGGCACAGAGAGGGCATGGGACTTCCCTAAGGTCACACAGTGTAACCATGCCAAAGCCATGAGCAGAACCCAGGTTTTGCTTGTCTTCTTGATGTTTGGTAATCTCTGATATACTTCAGAGGTGGGAGAGAAAGTGGTACCAAAAAAGCAAGGCGTGCCAGAGGTGAGGGTGCTCCTGTCTGTGGTATGGGGCGGAGAAGGGAGATGGGTGAGGTCCTAGGTTCCAGCCTCACCCACCAGACACCCATGCAGCCTCCCTGGGTCTGTCACCTGCCCTGCTCGCCTCACGGGGCCCCAGGACAGAGGGGTTGAGGTGAGAGAGGAGGCTTGGGAAAGAGCTGCGTGATTTAGAAAATCCGTTCACATAATCCTTTGATACTCCTGTCGTCAAGAGGCAGAGCCTCGTTCTCCTGCCTTGAGTGTGGGTGGAATTTAGTGACTCACTTCTAAAACAGGATAAAGGAGAAGTGATGGTGTGTTGTGTGTCTGTGTGTGGGTAGGGGAGGGAGAGGAAGAGAGAGGCAGACAGACAAGGTCACAGGCAGTCTGTGGCTTTGACCTTGGTCACACTCAGATTTGGATTCTGGGTCTGGGGAAGTCCCCCTGCCCCGGCTCCAGAGTACTTTAGTAGCCTGTGGAAAAGCCCTTCTTACAAGAAACCTAGGCCTCCAGTCAAAGACAGAAGTCCCTTTTTAGCAGAGATTACTTGAAATGCAAATGGATTAGATTCTTAAAGATGTAGATGGGCAGAATAGATAAAAACTCACGATTCAACTATCTGTTATCTACAAGAGACTCATTTTAAAGCCAAGACACAAATCGGTTGAAGGTGAAAGGATGGAAAGGGTTTTCCACGCAAATAGTAATCAGAGGTGATTGTACTGATATCATACAAAATAGACTTTAAATAAAAAAGGTAACGAGGCAGAGAAGGATATTACCTGTTAATAAAAGGTTTAATAGAGCAAGAAGCTAGAACAGTTATGAACCTTCACATACCTAATAACAGACCAGGGAAATATGTGAAGCAAACACTGTCAGAATCAAAGGGAGAAAGAGAGAGTTCTGTAACCATAGTTGGAGATTTCAATCCCCACTCTCAATACTGGACAGAAAATAGTTAAGGAGTAGAAAACTTGAACACCACCACAGAAAAACGAGATCTAACAGACATGTACGGGACACGCTACCAAACAACAGCACACACGTTGTTCTCAAGTGCTCACGGGACCTTTTCCAGGGTAGGCCATGAGTGGGGCCACAGACTGGGTCTCCGGGAATCTAACGGGCAGATGCGTGCAAAGTGTTTCCTTCAGTCTCAGTGGGATGGGTGAAGTCAACAACGTAAGGACTGTAACATTTAAAAACTGTAGAAATCAACACACTTTAAAATTTTTATTTATTTTATTTTTAGACATAGGTGCAGGGAGGGAGAAAGAGAGGGGAACATCAGTGTGTGGTTGCCTCTCAGGCTCCCTCCACCGGGGACCCAGCCACAACCCAGGCCTGTATCCTGGCTGCTTCACAGGCTGGCGCTCAATCCACGGAGCCGCAGCAGCCAGGGCCACAATGGAATATTATTCAGCCTTAACAAGGAAGGAAATTCTGACACACATACGACACAGGCAAACCTTGAGGAGACTATGGTAAGTGAAATAAACCTGTCACAAAAAGACAAAAACTGTAAGATTCCATTTATATAAAATACTTAGCCCTGGCTCAGTGCCAGCCTGTGATCTGAAAGGTCACGGGTTCAATTCCCAGTCAGGGCACATCCCTAGGTTGCCGGCCAGGTCCCCAGCTGGGGGTGGATCAGAGGGAACCGATGGATTATCCTTGTTTCTTTCTCTCTTTTTCTCCTTCCCTTTCCCTGCCTCTAAAAATAGATAAATAAAATCTTTAAAAAAGTACTTAGTGTGGTCAGATGCATAGAGACAAAAGGCAGCCTGGCGATTGCCAGGGTCGAGGGGAAGGTGGGAGGGAAAGTGTGACAAACACGACCACAGGCCCCAAACGGAGTCGCTTGTGCTGAGCTCCACGTCAGTCGCCAAACAGAGACGTGACTTCAGGACAGTCCTGGCCGTCCCAGCAGTGGGGTCTAAACCAGTCAGTCCAGGGCCGCCCGCCCGAGTTCCCCGCCATCCTCCGAGGGACGGGGACTTTGCAACAAGCAGCCTGCTTCCCGCCACCATAGCCTCCTTGTTCCCACGCCCGTCTGCCCCCCAAGTCTTTCACTTTGTGCACCTCCTTTCTGTTTGCGGGATTGAGAGCTGCCCACTTTAAATCGACTTCTGCTCAGATGGACTCTTTAAAAATGTCACTGTGCCCCCATTTATCATTTACCAAGAGTTACTGTTTAATGGGCAGAGTCTCAGTTCACGCGATGAGGAGAGTCCGGGAGGCGGGCGGCGGTGACGGCCACTCAACACTGGGAGCTTCGAGCCCCCAACCACGGCTAACGCGGTGAGATTTATGTTGTGTGTATTTTACCACCATGAGAGTTTTCGATAAAAAGGAGAGAAACAGTAAAAGCAAGGAAAACATGAAATTTAGGACAGGGTAACCTCTTGATGGGCAGACAGGAGGGAGTGGAGGGGAAGAAGTATCAGTTATTCGGTGACGTTTCAGCTCTCGTGGGTGGCAGGGCCGGGGTTGCTAACTGCATTATGCTTTGTACCTAACCATTTGTAAAATGCATTTTTATATGCACAGAATGTTGTATTTTAAAATGTGTTAGAAACTATTCAGAGACAAAAGAAGGAGGGAGTCCAGGTTGGAGGCAGGCCAGTCGGTAGTAGTGAACGTGGGCCGAGGCACCGTCGTGGCACCTGTGGGGGTGCAGCTCCGAGAGCTCCGGGAGGAGGGCAGCCTGGGGGCCCCAGGACCGGCCTCGCCCGCCTGAGGGCGGTCGCACTGCCCGAGGCGGGGTGGAGGACGAGTGTGAGGAAGACGGGGAGGAGAGCTGGGGGGGGCAGGCGGCAGAGTGTGCCCCTCCCTCCAGGCTTCCTGCCTGGTGCAGATGCGAGGGCCAGTGCGGAGTCCCTCTGGCGACCGAAACACGGTGGGCTTCAGGCCCCCAGGAACCCATGCGTCCGCATTGCAGTCAGGCCGCCTGCCAGGGGGCGGGGAGTGTTTGTTGAGGTGTGAGCGGTGCGCCTGTGCCCCGTGTTGGGAGTGACTGTCTCTAGGGGTGTGGGTGTGTGGGTTTCTCCGTGAATACAGTGGAGGGCAGGGGCGGGGCGGGGTGCGTGTGGGAAGGGCAGTTCCAGCCTGCCAGGCCTGGGCCTGGTACTGATGAGAAGGGAAACCTGAAGCAAGCTGGCCTTCCCTAGTACAGGAGCCCCCAGTCAGGAGGGGGCCAAAGCCTCGGCCTTCAGCCTGGCCCAGTAGGACTGCACTGTGGGGATGTCCCTGTGGGACTGTGGGTCCCCGGGCCTTCTCGTGCAGGCCGTTAAACACCCCCACGGTCAAGGCCACACAGCGACTGGCTGTCCCCTGCCCCGGGCTGCTGCTCCTGGGGGCCTGCTGCTGACCACGATGTGGCCGGGGGGCAGCGCCCAGCAGAGGTCTTGTGACCCAAGAGACACCCAAGGTCTCATTTTAGACAAGAACATCTTTTCTTCTGCAAATGGCCTGCGTGGTGTGGGGAGCCCAGGTTCGGGGGTAGCAGAATAGGCTACTCTGAAATCTGCGTCTCGGGCACGATGATGATTCTGAGAAACAGCAGACCCGGGACAAGTGCTGGAAACAGCATAGATTACTCTTTTGAAAAGGGAACTTATATTTATAAAAAAATCTTAATTTGTAAGGGTATCTCCCTTTCTCTGCTAGGAAGAGAAAATGACTTTAGATTGTAAGAGAGCATTACCGGTGGAGGGGGCGGCGACCTACGTCTCCTTCACAAACCTTCCCCCTGTTTACCCTGATTTTCCTGGTGACCTTCCATGACAGGCCTCCCCTCCACTCCACCTCTCTCTCTCTCTCTCTCTCTCTCTCTCTCTCTCGTCTTTAGCTGAAGATAGCATGAAAGTTGCTGGTTTAGGCCACCTGGGAGAATTAACTCATTTTCCCTGGGTACTTTCCATGTATACATGAGGTAAATATCTACAAACCTGCTCATTTTTCTCCTTTTATTCTGGCTTTTAATCCAGGAGTCTTAGCCAGGAACTCAGAAGGGAAAATTGCCTTTCCTTCCCTTCAGGGGGAACAGTGACCAGGGGCCTGGTCTTCTCCCCCCTCCACTGTGGTCGCCGGACAGTTGCTGCACGTGAATGAGCTCTGTCGGCTGTGCCCTGGCCTGGCGTCTCAGCCGGGGATTTCAGAGCATTAGGGCTGGTGGAACGCAAGCCCAGGGTGGCAGCCTCGGGCCAGCAGGCTGAGCCCTGGACGGTGTCCCAGTGCAGGGTGAAGACGAAGTCTTGAGGCTTCTCAGAGCCAGACTAGGAAGAGGAACAGCAAGCCCAGGTGTCCTGGGGTCTTGAAACACGGGGACAGGAGCAGGGTGCTGCACACCAAGGTGACCCCCGCTGGGGAGAGGAGACCGAGAACGGAGCCTCACAGGACTCGGGTTGGTCTCCGTCCTCGCCCGGCCTCCTCCCCAGCAGACCTTCCCTCCGTGGCCTGGGCTCGGGTCAGTGCGCCCCATCATTCCCAGGTGGCCACTCTCGGGAGTGTTGGGGTCCAGGAGCAAGGCTCGGTGACTGTGCAGTTGAAGGAAGCAGAGTTTGCCCCCTCCGAATACGGCTTTTGGGGTAATATTTTAAGCTGGTTATTTTAAAGTAACAAAAGACTCAGGAAAAAAAAAACAACTTTGACCTTACCCTCTTTGCCTAACAGAATTTGGACAGAGACCCTGCTCCAGGAAGGACACTGTCTCCACAGGGAACTGTCCTTTACCGTGAGCCGAGTGTGACAGGCACGGAGGAGCCGCCTGGCCCCCTTGGTCGGAGTCTTGCTCACTGGCCCGTCCGTCTGTCTTTCCTGGGAGTCCCGTTGTTAAGGACGGCACAGCCAGCGCTGGTCCCTGGCCTTTGCTTCCCCATCTCTGCGGCGTCTCAGCTGCTGTCACTGCTCGATCAGTCCTGAGGTCCCGTGTACTTCTGTACATCCGTACCCGGGGTACGGATGTAATGAATTCGGTTATTCCTCTGATTAACCTGCCGTGTTGACTTGGTTATTAGACCAGCCGGAGGAGCTCAGAAGGGCAGAGAGAGAGCCGCTTCTCTTTCCTCGTGTGGTCATTAAGTAGCAGGCACCACGTCAGGCCTGGGTCGATTAAAATTCCAGCTCAGCCACCTAGCAGCCACGTGACCTTAATGAGAACACTGCTTAACCTAACAGAACCTCATCTGCCAAATGGGAACAGTAATCACCTTGCAGAATGGTGACGGTTTAGAATCCAGGCTGTAGGGGCCTCAGTCAGTAGGAAATGCCGTCCTGTCACTATTTGCCAATGTCCAGACCCACTTCGGCTGATCCAGCTCCCTCTTCTCAGCCCAGACAAGAGCAGACCTGCAATTTACCTGCACGACTGTCAGAGTGAATGAACAGGAAGTCACTATGCAACCCAGGCAGTAATGGGACAAGAGCCTCTGGGAAGAGTGCCTTGAATCCAAGGACTGAATCTGCTCGGTGGCCGCAGCAGGGTGGCCGCAGCAGAGACCCGCTGGGGTCTCACAGAGGAAGGGATGCAGAACTTGCAGAGCAGAAGGAGACCGGGGGAGACTGCCTGCTCCCGCAGATTTGGGGCCCCGGGGCTTTGTCTAAGGCTCTGCTGGTGCCCCTTGTACCTTTCCTGTCATGGGGGTGACGGGTCAGGGGTCACGTTCTTCCAGTGCTTGCAGAGGAGAGGGCGCCTGAATGTAGGCTGTGTGTCCGTGGCCTTTACCTTCTGTTCGTGCGCCTGCGACATCCGGTCCCTGCTCCAAGCCTCCTCCAGCCACCCAGTTAAAATTCACTTAGGTGAGAAGCCTCTTTGGTTCCTGGCACAGGATAGCTGCTTAATAAGTGTTGGGGGCCCTCAGATGTGTGCCGGCCATGAGGGTGATGGGAGGGAAGGGGCTTTTATGAATTCAGCTCAGAGGCAGGGAATCTGGGGGTGGGCACCATCCTGGGACCAAGTGCCAGAAGTGCAGAGGGTCCCCGCCCCTCCGGAGTGCCCTCTTTCAGCCGATCACGCAGACTGCCTCAAAGTGGCATTTCTGAAACCAGAGCGGTAGTGATCCTTCTCTCTGCCAGATACCTGCTGTAGCTCCCCTTGGCCCACAGTGGTGTCCATGGCCCTGCCTTGCTCAACAGCTTCCTTTCTCACCCACGGGTCTGTGTCCTGGTCAGGCTGAACTGCCACCTGTGGACAATGCCAAGCACCCTTCACCTGCCAGGGTTCTATGTAAGTGTGTGGTCCCTTGAGGTAGTACTTAGCATCGTCACACACACGTACACCCCTTGTTTCCCCCTGCTTAGTTCAGTTAATTTCTAGTTCTTCCTTCAAGCCTCTGATGCCATACTACTGGATATCCGGGTACTACTGGGAAGCCGTCAGTGACCTCCTTACCATTGGCCTGCATGCTCCTCTCTGCCCGCCCAGCTCTCTGAGCTCCTGGGCTCATGTGACACACACTGACCATTTTCCTCTGTGATTCCACTTCACGCTCCCCAGCCTCCTCACTTCTCCAGGGGAGCGCCCTGTCCTGCCCGCTGCTGTGTGTCCTGGGGCCTGGCCCAGTGCTGGCATGTGGCAGGCATGGAGCCCCGACCACTGCAGGGCTCTGGGAGCCCACCTCCACTGTGCAGGCGCCGTGAGCCAGGAGCTGTGAGAGTGCTCTCCCCACACCAATGCCATGGACCCTTCTGCAGCTGAGGGGCACCCAGGACCCATTCCCACCCGTGTCCTGCCCTTTGGGGGCAGAAAGCTGAAGCTGCATTTTCCAGACGGACTCTTGGTGGGCTGGGTGCACATGGTGATCCAAGGCTTAGACCCTCCAGTGGGATGTGGAAGGTGGAAGGAGCCGGTGGCCCCTCCCTCCTGCTTTGGCTGCTCCCTTCTGGCAAGCAGGGTCCCACAGGCGTGCATCTTTTCCTGCAGTGTGCCCAGAGTGCACCCCCTCCCCGGCCGCTCCCCAGATCACAGCCATGCCAGCGCACCCCGGAACTCAGTAGTGCCAGTGACAACCTCCAGGTGCCCAGCTTCCTGTTCTGCCCAGGCCCAGGGAGCAGGTGCTCCAGAGATTCAGCCTCCCCTCCCCGCCCCCCCCCCCAGTCTCCCCAACTGCCCCACAAGCACCTAACCCTCTGTATCACATCATCACCGTTTCCTGCACTGAACTCTGGCTGCTGTGACTCTTACTCTCCTTATGTCCCAGATGAGCAAACTGAGGCACAGAGCCACACAGCCAGTGGGCGGTGGAGCCAGGGTATGAAGCCAGGTCTTTCTGTGCCCAGAGCCGTGGACCCATCTTGCTTTG